TGCAGCATAGTTTTGGTTTATTTTTATTTTTATTTTTTTGCATTCTTTATTTTAAAAAGAAAAAACTAAAACAAAGCAAATCACAACAGAACATTGAGAGCAACACAGGACTTCACAATAAGACAACAGAACATCAACAGTTTCATAATGTCTCTTGTGTTCTTCAAAATAGTTGATCATACCTTCACACACAATGATATTAAACATAACAAAATACCATAAAACCATTCCAAAGAATTAATGCATTACAGGACTTCAAAACCAGAAAACAGGATGAACAGTGGCTACTAAAATATCTTATGTTCCTCGAAAAATTATCCATACCATCATACATGATGAATAAAACACAACAGGATAGAACCAATTAAAAGAGAAGAACAAAAATATAATAGGACTTCAAAACAAGATGATAGCAAATCAGCAATGGCTGCCACAATGTCTCATTTTCTTCAAAATAACTGTTCATATCACACATACTAAAATCAAACAAAATGAAATAAAACCAATCAAACAAATGAATGAAAGAATTATAAGACTTCAAAACGATATAATAGGAAACCAGGATTATCACACTGTATCCCATTATATTCAAAATAGTTGCCATTACCAGCTGACAGATTAGAATTAACAGAACAAAGGTAAACCTAACAAAATTGTGAAAACCATACAAGTGTTCAAGAAAAGAAAATGAGAAATTAACAATAAGTTACCACCTTTCCCTCCCAGGTGTTTTGTCCCCTATCACTCTTAAAATAATTAGTTTGCTTTTGGAGACCATTAACTGCTTCTGTTTCTTATGGTAGTGTTCAAGCTTATGAGTTCAAACTGTTTTGTCCATGACATGATCTCCAGTTATGTCTGTTTACCTACAAGAGCCTCAAGATTATTCTATTTTATAGTTAAGTAGCTTTCCACTGCATGGAAATAGCATATCTTTCTTATCTATTCTGTGGTTGATGGGAAAGTTACTCTTGCTTTTTTTTTTTTTTTTTTTTTTTGGTCTCCTAGCACATGGAGCTACTGTTTTCTTTCTGAATTGATTTTCAGTTTATGCATTTCCTTTCCAATTAAATGTGTTCCTTGTATACAGTATATTGATGGATCTTTTTTCTTGATCTACTCTCCTGTGTTTCTTTTTATTAGTGAACTGAGGCCATCAACGTTAATGTTTACAAGCAACATACATTGGTTTGTCTCTGTCATGCTATCCTACCATTGGCTCTCCTCTTTTATCTTTCATTGAGTTGCCTGTCTTGTTTGGTGATCTTCCTCTGCTGCTGTTCTTGGAACCATGGTCACCTTTATCTCGCTCTAGAATATCCTTTAGCACTCTCTATAGGGTTGGTTTGGGAGCCATGAATTTCTTCAGTTCTTTGTCATGTAAGTATCTTATTTTTCAATCAGTTTTGAAAGAGTTTCACAGGGTATGTCAATCTGGATTGGAAGTTTTTTCTTTCAGAGTTTAAGATGTTTTACTCTAAAGTCTTCTTGACTTGATGGTTTGTGTTGATAAGTCTGTTGTGATTCTGATTTGTGCTCTTTATTGGTGATCTGTCTCTTTTCTGTAATAGCTTTTAAAATTCTGTTCTTGTGCTGAATTTCTGGGATCTTGATTATTATATGTCTGGGTGAAGATTTACATTGGTTATTTCCAGTTGGAGTCCTATATGCCTCACTTATCTACTCACCAGATCCATTTCTCATGTTTGGGAAGTTTTCTACTCTTATTTAAGAAAATAGTCCTTTAATTTCATTTTGGTTGACTCCTGCTTCTTCACCAACACCTATCACTATTAAATTATGTTTCTTTGCATCATCTTGCACCTGTTGAATTGTTTCCTGATTTCTTGTTATTTTTAAGAGATCTTTCCTATCACAATCACTAGCTGCAATCCTATCCTCTAAGTTTGAAAGTCTAACATTAGTCTCTTTAAAGCAATTTTGCCAGATTTTGATTGACTTTTTAGTTTCCTGGATTGCTCTTGGAATCTGTTTCATGTGTTGGAGTCCTTTCTTTTTATTTTTAAAGAGATTAAGACAAAATAAGAAAGAAGGAAATCAAATCAGAACAAAACAATGTAAGCAACAGAATACTTCACCACAATACAACCCGATATTAACAGTAGCTACCATAATGTCTCTTTCTTTGAAATAGTTGAGCATACCTTCACATACAATAGCATCAAACAAAGCAAAATAGTATAAAACTATTCAAGAGAATGAAAGTATTACAGGGCATTCAGAACCAAATAACCAAAAATGAACAATGGCTATTGAATTATCTCATTTTCCATAAAAAATTTGTTTATATGACCACATGTATTAAAATCCAAGAAAATACAACATACTAGACCAAGTGGAAACAGAAGAACTAAAGGAAGGTCAGGCTTCAAAGCAAAATGATATGAAATCAACAATGGCTGCCATAATGTCTTGTTTTCTTCAAAATAGCTTTTCATACCATCACAGATAATAAAATCAAACAAACAAGAATAAAACCATTCCAACTAGTGAATGAAAACATTATAAGACTTCAAAGTAATGTAATGGGAAATCATGATTATCAAAAAATCTTATGTACACTTACAATTTCTTAAACTAGGAAGACAATACGGTATTTATACATGTGAGTTTGATTCATTTCGCTTATGAGTATGGTCTCAAGTTGCATCCATTTATTTATAAATGGACTCAATATGATGATTCTTTATAGCTGAGTAGTACTTCATTATGTAGAAGTACCACAACTTTTTTTATCCATTCCTTAGTTGATGGACGCTTAGGTTGTTTCCAAAATCTGGCTACTACAATTTGTGCTGCTACAAACATGGGTGCTCATATATCATTGTGGTACGATGTTATCAGTTCTTCTTGGAATATGCCTAGAAGTGCAATAGCTAGGTCAAATGGGAATTGCCATCCCAGCTTTTTGAGGAATCTCCAGATTGACCTCCACAGTGGTTGCACAAGTCTACAGGAGCATTCCTTTTTCCCCAACAGCTTTTGCTATTGGTAGCTTTATTGATCCTGTCCATTCTTTCTGGAGTGAAATGGAATCTCAGTGTTGTTTTAATTTGCATTTCTCTAATGACTAATGAAGATGAACATTTTTTCATCTATTTATTTGTCATTTGTATTTCTTCATCTGAGAATTGAGTATTCATCTCAGATTCCCATTTTTGGATTGGGTCTTTGAATTTTGGGGGTTTGATTTTTTAAATTTTTTATATGGTTTAGACAGAAGCCCTTTATCTGAGGGACAGTTCACTAAGATTTTTTCCCAGTTTGTGGGTTTTCTTTTCGGTATGCTGGAGATTTCTTTTGACAGACAGAAACTTTTTAATAAGATGTGATCCCAGTTGTTGATTCTGGGAGGTATTTCCCATATGATTTGGTTCCTGTTCATGAATTCTCTACCTACCTGTATGTCTTCAAGATTCTTACGTAATTTATCTTTCAACAGATTTAGTGTTTCAGTTTCAGTACTCAGATCTTTGATCCATTCAGATTTTAGTTTGCACATTGTGATGAGTGTGGGTCTAGTTTTAGTTTTTGCATATGGAGAGCAAGTTTTTTCAGCACCATTTATTAAAGACATTGTCATTCTTCCAGTGAACATGTTTAGCCCCTTTATCAAAGATAAGGTCGTTGAGTGTGTTGGTAGTTGTGGTTGTATCTTCTAATCTATTCCATTGATCTTCAGATCTGTTTTGATTCCAGTACCATGTTGATTTTATCATAGTAGCATTGTAGTATAACTTCAAGTCAAGGATTGTGATGCCTCCTGCCTTGCCGTTGCTGCTTACAATTGCCTTTGCTATTCTAGGTCTCTTGTAGTTCCAGATGAATTTTAGGAGTGATTTCTCTAGATCTATGTGATATGTTGATGGTACTTTCATTGGGATTGCATTAAAACTGTGTAACAGTTTTGGGAGAATGGCTATTTTCACAATATTTATTCTTCTTATCCTTGAACAAGGGATATGTTTCCAGTGTCTGAGATCCCCTTAGATTTCTTTTTTAGGGTATCATAATTGTCCCTGCACGGATCCTTTACTTCTTTCATGAGATTAATTCCTAAGTATGTCATTTTTTGGGGGGTGCAATTGTGAAAGGTTTGGCTTCTCTTATTTTTCTCTTGAGGATTTTTTTGTTAGTGTAAAAGAATGCTATTGATTTTTGAGTATTGATTTTGTGTCCAGTTACATTGCTGAATTTATTTATAATATCTAGGAATCTTTCAATGGAGTTTTGGGGGGCTTCTATGTAGAGTATCATGTCATCTGCAAACAATGATAATTTAACTTCCTTTTTCCTATCTTTACTCCTTGTATTTCTGTCTCTTGTCTCATTGCTCTGGCTTGTATTTCCAGTACTATGTCGAATGGGAGCAGTCATAAGGGATATCCTTGTCTTGTGCCTGACTTTAAGGTAGAGGCTTTCAGTTTTTGACCATTTAATGTGATGCTGTTGGTTTGTCGTAGAAGGCCTTTATCATATTGAGGTAATGACAATCTATTACAATTTTCTTTAAGGTTCTTATCATGAATGAGTGTTGGATCTCATCAAAAGCTTTTTCTGCATCTATAGAAATGATCATGTGGTTCTTACTTTTGGCTTTGCTGATATGGTGGATTACATTTATTGATTTATGTATGTTGAACCATTGCTGAATGCCTAGGATGAATTCCACTTGGCCATGGTGTATAATCTTGATGATTTGCTGCATCCTATTTGCCAATATTTTATTGAGAATTTTTGCATTTCTGTTCTGTTTTGTATTAGATTGGTCTGTAGTTTTCTTTTTTAGTTTGGTCTTTCCAAGGTTTTGGTACTAGAGTAATATGTGCTTCCAGGAATGACTTAGGGAGAATTGCTTCCCTTTCAATTTCACTGAAGAGTATGAGGAGTGTTGGCATTAATTCTTCTTTGAATTTCTTGTAGAATTCTGCATTGAATCTGTCTGGACCTGCATTAATTCTTCTTTGAATTTCTTGTAGAATTCTGCATTGAATCTGTCTGGACCTGGCTCTTCTTTGTAGGTAAGGACTTGATTACATTTTCAATTTCATTAATATACTTTGGGTTATTCAGCAGTTTTACATCTTCTTGACCCTTGCTACTTCATATGTTTCTAGGAATTTTTCCATTTCTTCTGTGTTATTGAACCTATGAGAGTAGAGGTTTTTGAAATAGGTGTTGATGGTCTTCTGTATTTCCACAGAGTCTATAGTGATTTCACCTTTTTCATTCCTTATTGCATGAATTTGAGCTTGTTCTTTCCTTTTTTAATAAGGTTGACTAGGGACTTATCAATTTTATTTATTCTTTCAAACAACCAACTCTTTGATTCATTGATTCTTTGCATTGTTTTCTTAGTCTCTTGTGTGTTAATTTCTGCTCTGATTTTTATCATTGTCTCCCTTCTTTTGGTTTTGGGCTTGACTTGCTTTTCTTTTTCTAGACATTTGTGGTGTAACTTCAGGTTGTTTATTTGTTTTCATTCTTTTGTTTTTCCTGATTTGGGAACTCAGTGCAATAAATTTTCCTCTGAGGACTGCTTTCATTGCATCCTATAGAATACAGTAAGTTATAGTTGTATTTTTGTTTGCTTCTAGGTATTGTTTAATTTCTTCTGTGATCCATTGATTCCTCAGGAATGTTATTATTCAATTTCCATGGGTTTGTGTGGTTTTTGAAGTTTCTTTTATCATTAATTTATAGTTTCATGGCACTGTGATCTGATAACATGCATGGGATAATTTCAATTGTTTTGCATTTACTTAAATATGTTCTATGGGCTAGTATATGGTCTATGTTAGAGAATGTCCCATGTATTTCTGAGAAAAATGTATATTCTGAGGTTGTTGGATGTAACACTCTGTATGCATCTACAAAGTAATTTGTTTACAGATGTGATTCAGTTCTGTTATTATTGCTTATTTGATTTTTCATTTTTGATAATCCTTGCATTGTATAGCTGGGTGCTCTGGAATTGTGCATATATATATATTTAAGAATGTTAATTCTGTCTCTTGAAGTTTTCCCCTAACTACTATGTAGTGATCTTTTTTTATCTCTTCAGATCATTCCTGGTTTGAAATTCACATTGTTTTCCAACAGAATAGCTATCCTTGACTTTTTTGGGGGTTCCTGTAGCATAAAATGTTGCTTTCCATCCTTTAACTTTCAGTTTATGAGGTTCCTTTTGGGTTAGATGGGTTTCTTGTAGACAACATATGGTTGGATGTTGTTTCTTGATCCATTCTGCCAGTCTGTTTCTTTTCATTGGTGAATTGATACCACTTACATTAATGGTGATAAATGTTATATATTGATTTATTGTTGACATGTTATCTTTCTGCTGTTGCATCTTTACCTTTCCATTCTGTTTAATTGTCTTCCTTGCTTTGAGTTTTTTTTCTATGTATATCTAGACTGTCTTTCAGTATTATTTGCAGGATTGGTTTGGCGATCATGAAATCCTTTAGTTGTTCTTTGTCATGGAAGTATCTTATTTCTCCATCCACTTTGAAAGACTGTTTTTCATGCTTCATCAGTCTACGTCAGATATCACTTTCCTTAGGAGCTGAAATACTTCACTCCATGCTCTTCTTGACTTCATTGTTTTTGTTGAGAAGTCTGCTGTGATTCTGGTAGGTTTTCCTTTATATGTGATCTGTCTTTTCTCTCTAACAGCTTTTAATATTCTGTTTTTATGTTGGATTTCTGGGATTGTTATTATTATATGTCTTCGTGTAGTTTTATTTTGACTATTGCTATTTGGAGTTCTATATGTTTCACTAATATTAATATCAGTTTCCATTCTTATGTTTGGGAAATTTTTAGCTAATACTTCTTTAATTATCCTCTTGATATCCTTTGTGTTGTCCCCTTCTTTTTCATTTATCCCTATCAATCTTATGTTGTTTTTCTTTCCATCATCTTGTAGCTGTTAATCATTATTTCCTGATTCCTCATTATTTTTAAAAATCTTTCCTTTCCTGTTCACTAGCTGTAATCTTGCCTTTGAGGTCTGAAATTCTGTTGATGTGGTTTTGACAACTTTCAATGGCATTTTTGATGTCCTTTATATCTCTTTGAGTCTCCTTCATGTATTCTATTTGTTTCTTATATTGTTCCTCCATGGATTCTGTCTCTTTACTTTGTTCCTCTAATTTTTGAGTTGTGTCTTCTTTTGATGTGTTCAGCATCTCTTTCATTACTTTTATCATTTCTTCTTTTATCTGGTAGATTGTTTCTAATTTGAATTCCTTTAAAGTTTCCCGGAGTTGCTTCTTTATTTCAGTTGCTATTATTTCAGGTATTTCAGATATATGGCATATATTTTCTTCTATGTACATGGCTCCTAGGCTTTCTTGGGATGGGCTGGAGGTTTGAGATTGCATGTTGGTCTTTCCTCTTGTCATTTTCATATATTTCCCTGTTTCAAGTGATGTTCCATTGCTTCCCTTGGGCATGCTGGAAATCTCATCCCACACCCTTGGCTCTTAGAACTGAATGGAGGTTGCTGAGTGTGGTCCAGTCAGGCCTGTAGGACCTTCTGTACCACCTCAGATGTTCCAGGAAGCTGGCTGGACTCAGAACTACTGTGGGTGAAGTTCCAAAGCTCTCACCATTCTAGCACTGATGTGCTGGCACTCACCTCAAGTAGCCTCAGCTCCCCTGATTGAAGAAGGTCACTGGGCGTGGTCTAGTCAAACCATGAAACCTCCCAATCCTAGTCTAGTGTGACTAGATGCTGGGCATGCACTTAACCACTGGGAGCAATGATCGTAATTTCTCCCTTGGCCTGGGCCAGTGTCTGCAGTTCCTTTGTGTATTCACTTGAGGTTTTCATCATTGTCCTATGCTCTTCTTTTTTGGCTATGTCCACTTTAGACATTCTGAGAAATTCAGTGTTTGTGAGTTCTTCTTTTACCTGAGACATTATTTCTGATTTGACTGCTTTTATAATCTTGTGAAGTTTTTTCTTTACTGCAATTTCTGTCCTCTTATAGATTTCAAGTGTGTGAGTTCCATTTTCTTCAATGACTGTATTTCCAGACTTGTTCTGTGTGGGCTAAGGGTTTGAGACTGCCTTTTGTACTTCTTCTTGATATTCTGGGTTCTTCCCAAGAAGCTAGCTGGGGAGCCCCAGGCACTTCCCACATTGGCTTCCCCTCCACAGTGTAGGTGAATGGGGCAGGCACCTAGGTTCTTCTAGCCTCAGATTATAGGGAGGTAGCAGTGTAGGGAGTGGGATTTTCCAGACCTGTGCAGCTACACTGGAGCTTCCCTCATGGTCAGGAGTGCATGGAGGTGGGGATGCTTCTCTCAGCCTGTGTGTCTAGACTGAGACTCCAGTGATGGTGGCAGGCACACAGAGGTGTTTTTGTCTGATTCCACTGGTAAGTGATAGCTGTCTGAAGGAATAAAGGTGTCTAGTGGTGGCCTCCAAGTACACAGAGTTTACCTTGCTGTGTGTGCCTGCTTCTACTGGCTGCCTGCCAGAAAGAACTTTCCAGTGGTGATGTCTATCAGGCAAGGACAGATCAGCTGGTTCTCTCTGCACACCTTGACTCCCCACTGTCTGCCCTACTCAGTGAAGCCCCTCTACCACTATTTGTCTCACTAGGGACACTTGGAATTCATACAGTGGCAAGGCTGACCCTCTGCTTCCTAGCAGTTACCTGTGGGAATCTGTGATGATTGTTCCCAGAGTGCACAAAGTGGAGTGTGGCTGGAGCCTCCACCATGGCTGTTAGAGTATGTGGCACAGCTGCCCACTGCTTCCAGAATGAGCTAGTTACTGGTGAGAAACCTCAGTGATTTCTGTTGAAATGCACACAGGGCAGGGCTCACTCCAAGCAGTTTCCACTGGACTGCTCCCAGCTAGAAGCTTTTGGAGGGAAACAGCTACAGTTCTGGTTCTGGACATATACAGCATGACTCAAAAATGGCTCCTAACCAATCACCTTCTCTTTCAGGAGAACTGAACTGTCTGCATTGATTGCTAACCAGTGCAATCCTTTGTGTTTGCTGCTCCCCTTCACTGCCCTGTTTCTTTGCAAAGTCTTCTGGGTTTTCCAGTCACCACAGTCACCATGACCTTGCATCCCCAGGTTCCAACAGCTCCTGTCACACAGCAGGTCTATCTCAGACTGAAGGTCCCACCAGCTACCGCCTTCTTCTCTGTTTAAGTTTTTCTTTTTTGCTCTCTCTGTAGGATTCAGTTCTCACTTTGAATTCTTCCTGGGAGCAGGTGACCCACTCTCTTCCTTCTTGTCTTCCCCATGATGCTATATTCCAGCATCTGGACTGTTTCTCTCAGAGAGACTATTTACTCTGCTGCTTACTGCTCAACCATCTTCCCAAACATCTGGATTTTACTTCTTGATCAATTTTGCCAGTGTGTTTTTTATGTACTGATAAATTAATGATTTTTACTTGTAACATTGATGGTTATAATTGATATGTATTTCTTTATCCTTGTTACTTTCTTGTTGGTTCCCTGTTTTCCTCCCTGTTTCCTTGTTTGCTTTGCCTGGTGGATCCATTTTGCTAAGGTTCATGGAGTTGTAGTCTTTGTATTCTCTTTCTAGGATGTCATTCAGAACATTGTGGAGTCCTGATTTTGAGTTGCTGAATTTCTTTGGGTGTTCTTTGTTATGGGAAGTATCTTATTTTTGCATCAGTTTTGACAGATATTGTTGTGGAGTACATCAGTCTGACTTGGAGTTTGTTTTCTTTTAGTAATTGAAAAACTTTGAATTTTCCTTGACTTTATGGTTTGTGTTGAGAAGTCTGCTGTGATTATTAGGGGTTTTCCTTTATAGGCAATTTGCTTTTTGACTTGTCTTGACTACTTTTTGGCTTGCTGAGATGTTTTTGATGGTGGTTAATGGTAGTGCTATATGTCTCATTATTTGTATGCAAATTCTGTTTCCCTGCCAGGGATGTTTTCTACCATGATGTCTGTGAACACTTTTATATCATTTGCGCTATCTCCTGCTTTCTCTTTTACTCTAATCAATCTTAA